CCTTCATTGGGAGGAATCTTTCCCGAGCTCCCTCGGTAACCCTACTCAAACCCACTTCTGATCACTCCTATCCTTCTTGACACTCTGGCTGTTAGAAGAGGCCCAAAACCTTTTAGGTTTGAATTGGCTTGGCTCCAAGATTCGTTTCTTTCCAACCTTATCCCAACCTGGTGGAACTCCTCCTCTCAGGTTAACGGTAGGGTTGGTTATAGGCTTCAGACGAAAATCCAAACCCTCTCAGAACCTAGAGCAAGTCCTTTCTTGCAACTTTTCCCAAATTAAATCCTCCCTTTTGGAGTCTCTGCATCTTCTGGACAGTCTTGAGGAATCCAGACCTCTGAACTCCACAGAAAAGGATCTCCGAACACAGTCCAAGACGGAATATTTCTCTATCCTTAAAAAATAAGAGATACTGGCACCAGAGATCAAGGATTAAATGGTTGAAAGCTGGTGACTTGAACACCGCCTTCTTTCATCAGTTCGCTAACTGTCGCAGCCGCGACAGTACTATGTCGATGATAAAATCCAGCAATTGCTACCTGGTTGACCCTGTAGCAATCGAGCAGCCATTCTCGACTTTTTTCGGATGCTTTACAATGCCCCTTCTATACCGAGACCTAGAATGTCTTCCCAAGACTTCTTGACCCTCCCTCCAGACCGGGCTGAGTGGTTAGAGCATCCTTTCTCGGAAGAAGAAATACTACAAGCTATTGCCTTGGCCAAAGATAAAGCCCCCAGCCCAGATGGATTCCAATTGCTCCCTTCAAAACTTTCTGGGAAACCTTCCGTCCTGACTTCATCGAATAATTTGAGGAATTCTTTCACCGGGGTAATCCACAAAGCGATTAACGCAAGCTTCCTAGCCCTCGTTCCAAAAGTGGAAGGGGCAAAAGAGGTTAAGGACTTTCACCCAATTAGCCTGCTAAACTCCTCTTACAAAATCTTGGCTAAAGTCCTGACCTCAAGACTCCAACAGGTCCTCCCTTCTGTCTTGTCTCCACCCCAAACTGCCTTCATCCAAGGTAAGCAGATCCTTGATGGGGCACTGGTGGCCCACGAGTGCATCCACTGGCGACACCTATCAAAGCATCCTGGCCTTATCTTCAAGATCGATTGGGAAAAAGCCTATGACCATGTCGAATGGCCGGTTTTGGAGGACACCATGGCTAGAATGGGATTCGGGATCGATGGAAAAAGTAGATGAGGGGTTGTTATTCCCACCCTTACTTCTCTGTCCTTATAAATGGATCCCCAAAAGGATACTTCCCATCCTCAAGGGGCTCCGCTAAGGGGACCCTCTCTCTCCCTTCCTCTTCACTATAGCAGCTAAAGTCTTCAGCCGCTCGCTCTCCCGTCTTTACCAGGCGAATATCCTTTCAGGCTTCAAAAGTTGCTCGCAAGGCCCTATGGTGTCTCATTTGCAATATGCGGATGACACACTTGTTTTCCTTGATGCCCCAACCCGTGAAGCTGATTCCCTAAAGCTTTTCCTCCAATGCTTTCAGTTAGCCACGGGCTTCAAAGTCAATATGAAGAAATCTACTACGATGGGAGTCGGCCTATCTTCTTTCGAAGTCAGAAACATCATCCCAGATTGGGAGTGTAAAGAAGAGGACCTTCCCACTACTTACCTTGGTCTTCCCTTGGGACTACGTAAACCGAAAAAGAGACTCTGATCTCATATCTTGGATAAGGTAGATAGGAGGCTGGCGGGATGGAAAGGTAGATATCTTTCTATGGCAGATCAGTCTACCTTGATCAAAGCTACTTTAGCCAATTCCCCGGTGTACCTCATATCCCTCTTCCGCATGCCTGCTCAAGTGGCTAATCGTCTGGAACAACTCATGCGACGGCAGGTAGAGAAGACAAAATTCCACCTGGTTGCATGGGAAAACATTTGCTTACCTAAAACATTTGGAGGTCTAGGGATCCGGACCCTTAGGAAACACAATATGGCGTTACTCGGAAAATGGTGGTGGCGTCTTGCTACTCAGCTCGATTCTCTTTGGGGGGCTAGAATCCTTCGAAGTAAATATAAAATCCCAAAAGGCGCTTGGATGCCTGATGATAGACGGTGGCCGAAAGCGTCAGAAGCCTGGAAATCTATCCTTACCTCTCTCCCATTGTTCAAAAGATGGGTACATTTTCAGTCAAGCGCGGGCGATAGGGTACTTTTTTGGTCTAACCTTTGGTTGGGTCCCAACCCTCTTCTCTCTAACCACTAACAAACACTCCACCGTTGCTGAGGAAATGATGCCAATAGGGGGCCGCAGAATCTGGAACCCTGTTTTTCGAAGGCACCTCACTGATGAGGAAGCCTTGCACTTCCAAATGCTCTCGGCTGCACTACACTCAAGGTTCATTCCCTTAAATAGGACTGATTCTATGGTGTGGATGCTTACTCCTACTGGCCCTTTCTCAGTTGCTTCTTTCTATAAGAGCCTTTCTCAAGCCCCTACCCTTCCTACCAACTCACCATCAGTCTTGGCAAAAGTGTGGGTGACCATAGCACCTCCCAAGGTGCAAACCTTTCACTAGATTGCGGCATCCAACAGAGCCCTCACAGTGGACCAACTCCAAAAAAGGGGGATCCCATCCCCAATAGATGCGCCTCATGTCTTTCTGAGGAGGAATCTAGCCCTCACCTCTTCCTTATTTGCAATGATCTGTGGGGTATGGTTAAACAGTTGTTTGGTATCCACTGGGTCACGCTACCCTTGGTCAGAGCCCTCATCTCTTATGACTTGGACTCCCATTGGCCGAAAGCTGGTAAAACTCGGTGGAAAGCTTTTGTAGAGGCTACCATATGGAGTATATGGGTTGAAAGGAATAATTGAGTTTTTCAAGGTATAAAAATACCAACCCCAGCTCTCTTTCACAGGTCACTACCTTGGTCTCCTTCTGGGCCTCCAATCATCAGACTTTCGCAAGCATTCCAAAGAACCTCTTACATAGTCAATGGGAAAATATTCTTACCACCAATCGAGAAACGATATAAGACACAACAACTGGCAGCCCCCACCTGTGGGCTGCATTAAGTTAAACTTTGATGGTAGTTCAATTGGGAATCCTGACCCGGCTGGCGCTAGAGGAGTTTTTAGAGACCACCACCGGAAGTCCTCTTGTACTCTGAATACCTCGGTGGTGGTGACTCCCAATATGTAGGGGCTATGGCTCAGCTACTGGGGCTGAAAACATTCAACCAGTCTTGGGGAGCACGCCTCATTGTGGAAGGAGACTCCCACAATACAATCTCTTTGACAAGTGGGAAGATCCCCTCCCCATGGCAACTGTCCACCATTTTTTATGAAATCTTTCACATTTGCAGGGATATGGACGTCTCTTGGAGGCATATATGGCGGACGTCCAACGAGTTCGCAGATCTCATGACAAAGGAGGGAGCTAGAGTGCAAGAAGAAGATAATACCAGGTTCCGCTCCTTTTTTGTCACGGACCACAGGCTCTCTTAGTAGCTTCAAAAGTGTCCTCCCTGGGTTTTGGTTTTAGTTTTTGGCTACCCACTGTAAATCATTGTAAACGGGCGACTTTTATAAGCCCTTTTCTGTATATGGCTCTCTGACGAATTTTTACCAAGAGCTACCTTTCTGGGGGCTCTCGGTATTCCCATTTTTGTAACCATTACTGGCTCAGTAATACAATGTTAACGTTTAAAAAAAAAAAAAAAGATCGAGACATAGATTAGGTCCCCCTCCAAACTCACCTAAATGAAAATATTAATCTGGAACATTAGAGATTTAAAGAACTGCAGTTAGAGCCTTGTAACACTCTCGTCAACCAGATGTTTTGGCTGTTATGAAACCAAACTCCCCAACCCTTCCCTTTCATGGGTTAAGGAAGTCTGGGAAAATAAACCTTGTCAATGGGGGGGCTTTGGAGGCCATGGGAGCCTCAAGGGGGATTTTATCTGGGAACCCATGATCCACTTCCAAGAATTGTTGGCATAGGATATTTCTCAGTCAACCTCTTTTTCCAAATGCTCTCCGATCGGCTTTTTTTGGAAGTTGTCTGTGGTTTATGGCCCTAGCTGCCCCAGAGCTCGGGACAACCTCTGGCAAAGTTAGAGGCTAATGCCTTGTTTTTGCTGCTCCCTGGATGATAGGAGGTGATTTTAATGTGCCCTGTTGGGTACATGAGAGAAATAAAAACAGTAGAATAACTACTGGCATGAGAGATTTCTTTGAGTTTCTACATCATAACTTTCTCATTGACACCCCATTCCATGGGGCAACATTTAATTGGCCTAACCATGCTTCAAATCCAATTCTCTCCAATCGCGGCCAGTTCCATTTTCTATAGATTGGGAGTCCATCTGGCTAGAGATCTTTTCCTAGTGCCTCCCTAAATCTATCTCAAACCCCAAACCAATAATGCTGGATATCCATCCCGTCCTGAGGCCCAACAAGCCTTTTAGGGTTTGAATTGGCTTGGTTGGAAGAGGCTGATTTTCTAGACGAATGGACCAATGGTGGTCTTCTTTCCAGGTCCATGGCTGGGCGGGTTTTGATTTATTTGTGCATAATAGGCATTAATTTATTAAGTTATTAGGATTTGTTTGCTGGAGAGTTTGCCAATCTTTTATGAAGTCATGTAAGATAATTTTTCAAATATTTTTACAGTTAATATCCTTTCCAGATTCCCTATTAGATTCAAACTCCTGATTTTCAAACTTTGAGAGAAAATGTGGAGATGTTACGTGACAATGTATTACCTATGTAGATTCAGAATGCATGCCTTCCAATTGAATATGATCTAGCGCAAGTTAGGAATATAACTGAATTATTCATACTCAAATGCATCCGCTTAGAAAAAATAATTAATTTCAGCAGCGGCAAGACAAATTCATTTTGAAATAACAGAAATATTCATTGAGGCAACAGCAATGAAGCCATTGACAATCAACTATATTGTGAGAAATAAGCTGGAAGTCAGATATTTCAGAATAATATACTCGTGAAATTAACAATAATACCAAGTACAACCTTTGTCTTACTTTGACCTGCTGAGCCAATCTTGCAATATCTGCAAACAAATTGAACATTAAAATACAGGCCCTAACATGCAGCACAGCAGAATGGAATAGTTGAATATACGGAAACCAAAAGGTAATGGATATGGGCAAAACATCTAAAAAAATCTATATTGTATACGAGAATACTCCAAGTGACAATATTAAGTAAGATATTCAACCCAACGAATCACAAGTAGCAATAAGATTTTAGTTTCCACAATCACGTTTCACTTTCAAGTGGTATATATGAACTTATTATAGTTTGGACTTCCATGAGAAGAAGCAAGGAATCTTAAGAACATAAGGACAAATAATCAGACCCAAATAAGAAGACATAAGGTACTCATCAAGCATATAATAAGTATAGGAAATCACAGCATTCAAGCCCATTCTAAATCAAATTGATATCCCAGGATATCTATCACCATTTGTCCATAAACAGCTCATAGATTGATGCCAAGTCCCAACCATGCAAAGAATATGAAATTATCAACCCGAAATAAATCTATTTGCATTGAAGGCAAAAGAAAATTCAAAGCAAACAATCGGCTATATGTAAAACTACTCATGGCATACGTTGTCTTCTTCATTTGGGTATTATTACACAAATTATTTGAATCCATTTATTAAGTTCTTTTGAGATTTCCTTATTTCAAGATTATTAGTTAAATCAGGGAAAAATAGACCAAATCGATTCGCCACACCAGAGACATTTTCAATTGATATTTAAGTTTCAATTATCAACACCAGGAAAAAATCGAAATAAAACAGAGGACAGTATTCCACATGTAAAAGGAAACTCAAAACTGATACGATCAAAAAATTGGTGGTTTTGCTTCAAATTCAGAACTCAAGATAAAATCATCAACGAGAGAAGATAAAAGATTAAAAGGAAACAAAAAGAATCAAGCAAATTAAAAATCAGATAGAGAGAGATATGAAAAGAGCTCACGGTTAGTCATATGCAGCTTGACGACTCGGAGATCATCTAGGGTTATTCCTTTGTCCTTATCAGCAGGCTGTACGGTGTCGACTTCTTCTTGGTCCAGCAGCTGTTTACTGCAATCACCCGCATGGTTTCAGCCAAACTTTGCAGAGAAGGCAGGCGCATGCAAGCCCTAGAAAACAGAAGTACCTGTGGGAGGACGTCCAGAAGTTGGCCGCCATTCTCTCTCTCTCTCTCTCTCTCTCTCTCTCTCTCTCGTCGTACGTACGAGACGACGACGGTACGTACGTACGTTCGTTCCTTCCGTTCCCTTCCCGTTCCCGTCCGTACCGTCCGGTACGGACG